GTCTATTTGGTATCAATCATGCTGGAGAAACTGATTTTTTAAAACATGATCATTGAAAATAGAATAAGACACATTATATCCTGTCTCATGTGGACTGACAGGAAACATATTTTGCAGCATATTTTGAAGTCAATTCAGGGTGTAAAGAGTTTCAAGTGACAATATTCAGTTTTAATCTTATTCTTGGATATGCTTTATCACTGCTGTTGTTTTCTTTTTTAACCCTACGTTCTCACTATTCTATGAATCATTGATGCYGGTGTTGAGAATCATGGCTCAAATCCTGTACTCCCAGCACTAAAGATTGAACACCCGATAACTGACAAGGCAAGCACAAAAGATTTTATTTAAAGGATGGGGTGGGGAGGAGATCCTCTGCAGAGGAGGGAGTCCAAGTTGGTGCCCAAGGGGAGTAGGAGTGTCCTGCCCCTTTTATAGATATTAGATTTCTTTTTGTTCTCATGCCCTCTCTTCCCATCCAACCTATTTGACCCAAAAGGTGGAGTGATCCAAGGGMAGGAACAAAGCCACCCAGGGGTAGGTGCAAGAAGGGAGCTACCCCGGGGCTACTCATTAACAACTCCTTGCAGAGAGAAACAATTCCCTAGAGGCAGGTAACCTTAGCAACAGGTTAGAGGAGGGGAAAGTGCTCTGGAGGTATTAGCATTTTATTTCCTTTGAATTAGTCCCTATCTTCCTGACCCAGTCATTTACTACCTACACTGACTGTCCTTCTGTCCCCCATCATTGAAATATTGTCTCACAAATGTGGACAATATCATATAAAACTACCCATGAAACAGCAACAGCCTACACCTTCTGACTTTTATGGAGTGCTGTGCTATGCCCTGTGCTGGAAGCTACAGTTTGAAGATAGAAACAATAGAGTTTCAGCTTCTTTGGACTTGGTGTAGAGGAGAAACAAATGCAAACACTGAACTTCATTATAAAATGTGCTATGACAGGTGTACTTATAAATATGCCCATGGCAATCAAGGAGCATTAGGAGGATTACATAACAGAATCTATGGGGATGGAACTCAGGAAAGCCTTGTTCTCCGTGAAAGAGTCAGAGAATGAAAGAGCTGGCTAGGTATGGGATGATGGCAGACAGGCTATTCCTGGCAGCTGGAACAATATCAGCACTGGAAGAGAAGCAGGCCACAGCATGGTGCAGGGGCTTTGATGTCACTGGGGAACACTGGATTTGTGGTTCTGAGTGTTAGATGATAAAGTTGGATGGAGCAAGTGGCAGGTGCCCACTTCCACAGAGATCAGTCAATTTACAACATTGTGATGATAAAAAGATGAACAGGGACATCTCAAAATCTAGTGAATACTGACAACATTAGACTACTTTAACATTATTATTTTTCAAGATTATTGGATTTCTGAAAAATATACTCATAGGAAACTCTGAAAGAAAAATATTCATTGACATACATATTTTATTATAAAACATAAATAATCTCTTCCTTAGTTCCTTAATCTAGGAATCAACTGCTCCACCCACAGTGGGTACATCATTAATACACTAACAAAGTCATTCTGAATATGCAGGTCCAGGCTAATCAAACCTTGGAAGTCCTTTAAAGACTTTCAAAAAGATTCCAAAATGTCAAAGCAAATGTGTGTTCTTCTAAATGTATCTAGTGACCTCTGCTGGAATATTTATTTATCAAGGAAACCAAATACAAGTTGTCTTCTTTTCTTTTCTTTCTTTTTTTCCCCCTAATTTGCCCTCTTGCCTCTTCCCATTGAAAGATAAGATTTTAGTGTGGGAGTGAAATTAGGAATCAGGGTCTTTTGAGCACCTTTTTCCTACCTTAGAGAAGTCCTGTCTCCCTTTCTGCCTCAACAGCTCTTRTCTTTCTGCTGCCAACTCATTTATTTGTGCTGTTAGCATAAACCTTATAGGACAGTATTCAGGGATTTGGGAAGCAGAGAACTTTGTCTGATCCTCCTCCAAATCTGCAGAAATGACTGCCTTTCTCTGCACATACATATGGAAGAAGGCACTTCATCCAGAGAGCAAGGATAGATGAAAACATGGACATATTTCTTTTAGTTCTATTTATTTCACTTCTCTTGACTCCAGGAGCAATTTTGAAAATAGCATTTGCCACTAAAAAGCCAAGAATTGGTGAAGAGTGACCTCATGTTGAGAATAACAAGGTTAAAAAAAAGTACAGAAGCCTGATGGGAGGTGTCATTAGGAGATGATATGTGCTGAAAATACTGGTACTTGATATTAAAAATAAGTCAAATGGGAACTAAGGACAAGGAATTTCAAAACATCACAATAACAAGAGTAGAATTGTGCAAAACCTTATGATACGATTAAATTTGAAAACCGTTTTGATTTATCCCGTGCATGGTGTGCATATCTGTAATTCATGATTATTACAGAAAATTTGTAAAACACAAATAAGCCAAAAGACCACATAAATACTGGTCATAACCACTATCACTTACAGACAATAACTGTAAGAGTTTTGGCATGTATCCTCCCAATTTTTTGTTCGTGTCTATTTTAGTCTTCTCTTCATATATACTTCAGGACTACACACACACACACACACACACACACACACACACACACGTTATTACAACATTGATTCAGACATACTACTTATGTTATCTTGTATCTTAGTTATTTTCAGTTACCACATTATAAAATATATTTATTAATCTAAGGTCATTTTCTTCCAAAGTGTTTAATATAATAAAATACCAAACAGGTAACAAACATGTATAGTACAATATAAAAAAATTAAGAAAATTAGCCTCCCATTCCTCTCCATTGGTAACCAATGCCCTTTGGGGAAGGTTTTAATAGGCCACCATATGTTTTAAAAATAAGGCTGAGCATTACTAAAGTGTTTGGCATAGTGCCAGGCACTACATTAATTCTCTTATGTAAATTATCTCATCCTCATTATAATAAGTAAACTAAAGCTTATATAAACATCTGCTCAAGGTTACATATCTGATAAGTGGCTGAATGGACGGTTCCAGACCAAGCACTTGCCACCTGGAACATAMTGTAAATGAATAAATCACTCTTTTGGTATATGTTGAATAATGTGAATCAGCTCTCCCTTGGCTTGTTCAATCCTGGAAAAACCAATCTCAAGGTTGTTGAGAGGAAGCACTGCAAACGCAAAGGTCTATCATGTCCTTGTCATCCCATCTCATTCCTCATCAACATGTCCTTCTGTTGGGCTTTATTGGAATTTGTATTTGCAGAACACTCAGAAGTTAAGTCAACACAAACAAATAAATCATTATGTAAAAAAGTCTTTTCAACAACATAGCCTMATATCTCTATTATTTTAGTACTTGATTTTTTGATTAGCCATGTAGCCTTTTTTTTCCACAATTCAAACAAATGGATAATAAACTGTGTATGTATATTTACATTTGTAGAAAAAGATAATCAAATATGTTGCTGAATCACGGAAGACATGTTTATTTTTCTTGATTTACATAAATTATTAATATCACATAATAAAATATGATTTTACCTATCTTGAGTCATTAAAACAGGCTTAAGTCAAATAGGCCAACTACATGGAGTGAGACTACAGACCCACTAAATGTTTCTAAAATAGTATTATAATAAGGAACAAATTATGCTTTGACAATGTACTTATAATTCTAACCTGAACATTATTTTGTATGAGCTTCAATTCTGCTACTACATGGTATAATAAAAATACAGACTGCCAGGTAAATCTGTAAAGCAAGATGGTTCAAATTAAAACATGCTGTGAATGTCCTTACTTTAGAAACAAAATTGTGTGTGTGTGTGTGTGAATATATTGATACAAATACACATACAAACACATGATAAAGCAAATATATGGCATTTATTGGCAGTGTTATCCTAATGATATTTCTATTGTAACTTTTTCCCTGTATTTGAACATATTCCCATCCACATCCATTAAATTATTATTATTAATAATATTTTTTTTAGCACTGGGGATGGAACTCAGGTGTGCTCAGCCATTGAGCTACATCTCTAGCCCTTTTTTTAATTTTAATTTTGAGACAGGGTCTTGCTAAGTTGCAGAGACTGTCTTCAAACTTGTGATCTTCCTGCCTCAACYTCCCAAGGTCCTAAGATCATAGGTGTGTGAAACCACACTGGGATCATTGCATCATTCTTTATCAATTTGATCATATTTGTAAATATACAGTGTGACTAAAATTAATTTCTACTAGCTCATTTAACTGTGGACTGATAATGATTGACCAGTCAAAAATACATTTATTATATGCTATACCTAAAGACACACTGAGATTTATACTTTTGATATGGGGGGGGAATTTAAGTTATTAAGAAAGAGATAAACAAGAGCTATGCTTATCATCAAAATTAAATTTGTAAGTGTAGAAGGAAATAACCAGAAATAAAATTTTTTAAAGCTCTAGAAAAAAGTGTTAAAAAAGAAAGAACGGAGCCAGGCGCTGTGATGCACACCTGTAATCCCAGCGGCTTGGGAGGCTAAGGCAGGAGGATCTCAAGTTTAAAGCCAGCCTCAGCAAAGGTGAGTTGCTAAGCAACTCAGTGAGACCCTCTCTCTAAACAAAATAGGGCTGGAGATGTGCCTCTGTGGTTGAGTGCTCTTGAGTTCAATCCCTGGTACCCGCTCCCCCTCAAAAAACAAGAAAGAAACAAAGAATAGAAAGCTAAAAGAATTTAAAACTGGAAACATATCTCAACCAGTTCTACATGTAGTCTGCAAACTTTATGAGGGAAATTGCTTTGCTAATATTGGGTTGCTCTGGAAATGATGAAACAAGCCCTGGAGACAGTGTGAGTCTAGCTTGGTCAAAAGGACAAGGGCTAAAGGGCTGGATTTGTATCACGCTCAATCTGTCCCAGGAGGAGCCTGCTCAAGCTCTGAACAGCAGGATTTTACTCGAGATTGCTCTGGGTCATTTAGGTAGATAGTAGTAAGGGATAGTGTCCTCATTGGACAAAAAGATAAGCCCTCCTTCAATTGGGAGTTCTCTGGGAAGCACTGGAGATTTTGTTCTACTGGTTTACTTCTTTGAGTATCTACTAGAGCTTGATACCTACCGGCTCTAAACTTCTGTGTTTCTAAGTGCACCTAGCAGGAATTGCAATTAATTGAAACAGGGAATCCATCAAGGGTTTTTGAAGACTGGAAGAAGAATGCTTCGAGGCCGATCATTATCTGTAACATCCCTAAGTGGGCTTCCTCAGTGGGAAGCTGAAAAACTTCCTGTGGAGGATTTACTGCTCTTTGAAGTTTCTTGGGAGGTGACCAATAAAGGTTGGTGCTGCTCCTGATAGTAACTATTTCTCAGGTTGTTGAAGAATATAGATTCGGATTTCATAGGTGATGCTTCAGTGATAATGCATGAGCAAGGGTGACATTTGATCTAATCTATTTCAACAGGCAGTGACAACTTAAGACTTGTGTATGTGTTGAAGAGGAGTAAGTGAAAAAATTAGTCATTGCCAGAAAATGTGAATTCAAATAATAATTTTAAATCCATGTTACAATAAAATAAGAATGAAAAGTTTATTTCTTGTTGTTTTATGATTTTTTTCATCAACAAAATCTTCATAAGCACTTTAAGTACTTTTAAGTCCTTTATTTTGGGAAGTACTATATGAAGAAACTTTAACTCCATAGCAGTTGTATGAAACRTTTCATAGTATTTCTAATAATTCAAGATTAGTTTTGAATTAAAGTTTTAATGTAAAAGCTGATCAGAAGACAAAATGCTGTACTGCTACTCAAAAGACTGAAAGTATTTTTCTTCAATGCGATGCATACACAGAAATTATAAAATAAAAAAGAAAGTCAAATTGATCAAATAATTTCCTAATAAGATATAACCTGATTATGCTGGGTTAGAGAAGGCAACTTAAATGGGTTTTAATAACAGAGGTACCTGTATAATTATCAAAGAACAATTCTTATAGATTGATAGACTCTAGTTTAAAAGTGTTATGAAGGAAAAAACATTAACTGAGAAGAGATAATGGTTTTGAAGGCTGCGTCCTTTAATATTATGAAGGAACAGGTCCAGAGATTGATGGGTAAATAGCAGTGACAAGCTGTATAATTTGAAGAAGCTGAAATGAAAACATAAATGTGATGCATGACTTTTCTGCTTTTTGACTAGTTAGAGCCAAAATAATCCCAAATTACAATTACACTTGGCTTCTGTTCTGATTTTGATCTTATGCCAACTGTTGAAAAATTGCATTTGTAAAATTCCTTAAATCAAAATTATCAATTAATTCTGCCTATGCAAAAGGGCAAATAATTCAGGTGAGAGAGCAAAATCCAGTCTTCCTGGCTGCATTGAGAAGGAGCAAGGAGAAAAGGGACTTTACTGTAGAGTTAGAGAAGTATTTTACAAGTAGATCTTTCCAATGTTCTTTTTCCTGTCACAATTTTTTTCTGCCCAGTTTTTATTTTATTTTATTTTTATTGTCAGCAAACAAGTTTTATTTTGCAAAATRTTATGTAATATGAACTCCACTGCAAAAGAAGGGAATCAATTAATTTTAATTACGTAATCCAGAGGAAAAAGAACAGGTCGAATGAAGGTCCTGGATCTAATGGATCTCTCTATAGGGACAAGAAGAGACAAAAATATATCATCCAATATCAGCTAAAAGAAAACAGAAACCACATGAAAACTATTCCTTTTTGCCCAGTTTTAAAATATGGCCAAGGTTTCTGGCATAGAGCCACCACCACAATACATGAATCCCAGGGTGTACCTTGAAATGAAGATTTCCTCAATGGAGTAGGCAAGAGCCCAAGGACATAGCTCCTTGGTGGAAAAAACTGGGGTGAGTGGTTCTTAGCAAACAGTCAGCCCAGATGACTTCAGCCCAGTGGCCGCACTTTAGCAAGCCCCCTTTCTTTCCTTCTCTGCTCTCCATTTATCAAACATTAATGGAACTAATGAAAACTTATCCCATGGGTCTTAAATCCCAATCGTGTGCATGCTGATTTCTGTCTTGATATTTTTAATATCTCACTCGGCCTGATTTTGTCAAAAATTTTAATAGAGACATACAATGATTCCATTCATCCCTGACAATATAAATTTGCTTTGAACTTGACTTTCCTGCAGTTCATAGCCACAGTTTGAGGCATCTTGGAGATTTTAAATCCAACCCCTCTATTTAATACACAAAATAGATGAATAGAGGCACTAAATGAACAAGCAAACGGGAGACAGAGGACTAAGATGTRGGTCTCTTCCCAGTCTGATTCCCCTTTTTACTGCCACATAAGAATTAAATATTGAGACCTCTACTGTCTAAGGATATGTCCTATAGATGAAAAAGCTCTGTCTTGCAGTTAAATGTTAGAGACCTCTGAATAATAAAAAAAAAACCCTCTTGAACTATCTCAGTATCAGATTATTCATGAATAAAATGAAAATAATATGTTCGAGTCATCTTACAATTTCTATGGCAAACAAGGAAGTTTATTCATAACAAAGAAAAAAAAGGGTTTTTTAGAGAGGAACAAAATTTCTCACTACCAGGACTTTGCCAGTGAGTTATGGAAATGTTTAAAGTATAACGGGGCAGGGGATGTGGCTCAAGCGGTAGCGTGCTCACCTGGCATGCGTGCGGCCCGGGTTCGATCCTCAGCACCACATACCAACAAAGAAGTTGTGTCTGCCAAAAACCAAAAAAAAAAAATAAATAAATATTAAAAAAATATTCTCTCTCTCTCTCTTAAAAAAATAAAATAAAATAAAGTATAACTAACAAAGGAGTCACAATTAAACTATTGGTTGTTAATAATAACATCCAAATAACCTTTCAGTGGTACATATTAACCTTAAATTTCTTGCTTTTATTAATTTATCCATTTTTTTGTTATTATCCATCTATTATTCAAAAAAGATTTATCAAGTATCTGTTAGGTGTCAGACACTAAAAGACTAGAGAGACAGAATTTAACAAAATAGAATTGAGCTGGGCAGGGTGGCACACACCCATAATCCCAGCAGCTTGGGAGGCTGAGGCAAAAGGATCTCGAGTTCAAAGCCAGCCTCAGCAAAAGCAAGGTGCTAAACAATTCTGTGAGACCCTGTCTCTAAATAAAATAAAAAATAGGGTTTTGGAATGTGGCTCCATGGTTGAATGCCCTTGAGTTCAATCTCTGGTACCCCAAACAAACAAACAAACAAACAAAAAAACAGAATTGATTTCCAATTTTCCAGCATTTATAGACTTGTAGGAAGATTGACATTGAACATGTAGCTATAGACACATGCAGTAGTGTAAGGGTTAGAGAGAAAGGTGCTTGAAGATTATGTGTGGTGCTATTTTGGTAGTGGTTATGGTGGGATTCTTAATTGAGTTTGGGGTTTGTGGAGAACCTTTCTAATGAAGAGAAATTTGAGTTGATATTTAAGTTTGAACTGCTGTGGGGCAAATATGACAGAGGAGGCAATAAAGATAGAGAGTTCTGTGTGAGAGACTTACACAGGCTGAGATGCATTGGTACACATGCCAAGGTGCAGAAGTGCGCCCTGTTCAGAGATCTCAGTGCAGCTCAGAGAGGGAAGAGGAGGGAATATGAAGGAAGACAGGAGAAACCTTCAGGGGCTAGATTGTGAAGCTCCTGATGAATTATTATCTTTAAGGATAATAATTTTATCTCCAATCCATGAAAAATAAACAGAGCCATTAACTTCTAAATAGTGGGAAGTGCTAAATATCTGAKATTTTTTTTWAAAAAAAGTACTGTTAAAAATTGGGAGAAAAGAATAGCAGAAAAGTTGCACTGCCTAAGATGGGAAGTTTTTTCCAAATGTTGGGGGCAGGGAGGAAGTTTACTTTCTCTCTCTTTGCTCAGGCCTTACTACAGTYATTTCTTCTGCACAGACTTTCCCCAAACCTTGTCAACTATAGCCAGATTATCATATTGAAGATTTTGGATCATAAAGAATTTAATGGAATCTGTCACAAATAAAATGAAACTAAGAGGTATAAAGACTTTTGAAATTTAATCCTAAAATAAAAGCTTTCTTCTCAAAACAGACCAGACACAAATTGTTTAGTCCCAAGTCAGCATGTTACTGGACATAATACCTTTACCTGCTGCCTCATCAAACTGGAAATCACAGCTCTAGGTCACATGGCACAAGGGCACATGGACAAACTCGAAACTTGTAGTCAAATGGCCTGGTAGAAACCCAGTCTAACCACAAGTTTACTCTTCTGAGGGAGGCATTCTGTCGGAGAGAACCTTGATATATGTGGGCCTCAAGGAGTCTGTGAATCTTTAGAAATTGTATCTGAAAAGATGTGTGCATATATTTTTAAGAGTTTTTTTTTTTTTTGAGAAGAAGACTACACACTTTTGTAAGATCTACAGAGATTTCTATGATTGATGTAGGAACCATGATTCATATGAAATGTCTATATAAGATCTATATTGCCCATTTTTAAATTGGATTTCTTTTTTGMTAGTGTGTTATTTGTTTTCCTTATATATTTTTATCTTAATCCCTTACTAGGTTGTATAGTTTGCAAATATTTTCTCCCATTCTGTGGGTTCTCTTGTTATTCTGTTCTTTTTCTTTGCTTTGCAGAAGATTTGCACACATGTAATAAAATCACATTTGTCTAATTTCACTATGTTGTATCCACAAATCCTTGCCTATTCCAATGTCCTGAAAAGTTTCTCCTGTTTTCTACTAGTGGTTTCATAGTTTCAGATCTCACATCTAAGTATTATATTTTGACTTGATTTTTGTAACTGGTGCAAGGTTGAGGTTTAGTTTCATTCTTTTGCTTGTGGATACCCAATTTTCACAGCATCATTTATTAAAGAAACTGTCCTTTCCCCCGTATATGTTCATACACTTTTGTCAAAAATCTCTTAGCTATAAATGAATGGTTTGTTCCTAGAATTTCTTTTTTGTTCCACTACTCTGTCTTTGTGACAGTAAAATGCTGTTTTGATCACTTTAACTTTGTTGTATATTTTAGAGTCTGTTAGTGTGATGCCTCCTGCTTTTTTGTTTCTCCCTGCTCAAGATTTCTTTGGTTATTTGGGTTCTTTTATGCTTCGATATGAATTTTAAGACTGCTGTTTAAGTTTCTGTTATGAATGCCATTGGTATTTCAATAGGAATTTCATTGAATATTATGGCCATTTTAACAATATTAATTATTACAACCCATGAACATTGTATAGCTTTTCTTTTTTAGTGTCTTCTTCAATTTTGTCATCAATGTTTCATTTAAAATTTTTTTTTGTAGTAGTGAATAGACAGA